TACGCAATCAAACCGAGTTTAATCCCCGCCGGCACCTATGAAATTGTTAATCGCGTACTCGGTGGTGAAGGAAAACATCGTGAGGAAACCTGCACGTCTGAGAAATAAGAAAAAAAAATCGAAGACATGTGAAGTTCGCCAACATGCATCGGGGCAGCGTGGCGGACACTGCCTTGCCCTAAAACCTTCACAGAAATGAGGGGGAGGCCTTTGCCCAACAGTGGAACGTATATAGGCTGTAACTTTACTTTACTTATTCCATTTTTTCAAAAAAAAATCCAAGTTTTTTGGATAAAATATAACCTAGATTACTTCCGGTATTGACTCTCTATCTATTCCTGTCATTTCATTATGATCAGTTTAGCCATTCTGAAGATGGTGCCGGCGGAGATTAAACCGGGGTTGTTCGTGTACTGTGAAATTTACAGCGAGTACTTAGCCCATAAGCTACCACGGTTAATATCTAATACTTCGCTTGTGTGTACAAAATAGTGAAAGGTGAACCAATAACTTAACTTGAAGATTACTTCGACCTATTGTTTGAGTTTTTTTTCACGAGAGAAGACAATATGCCTTTGTAGCACGTGACATACATCACGTAAAATACAATAGTGTCTGTTTTAAAATTTAGAACTGAGAAGTTGCAATATTATGTGGTAAAGCAATAGAAAACTTTGCATGACAATTCTTGATTGAGATGTGGCAGTTTGAAGTTTGTACTTTTTTTAGATGTGAAATATATATTGACATAAAATAGATACAGAAAAAAACAAACAAATAAAAAGATTTATGAGAAGGATTATAATTTATGTTATAGAAAAAAAGTTATAATAGAAAAACGTTTTCGGCGGGAATCGAACTCGAGCTCAGAATTTGAAATTATTTTATTCTTAAAAAAGATTTCACCGACACAAACAATAAAAATTGTTTGAGTCGGCATTAGTTTTTATTTAAAGTCTAATTTTTTGATCCTATTGAGAATGGAATATCAAAGCACAAATGTAATCTAAACAGTTACAATCAAAACTATATCCACTACTTTTTTTATCCTCACGGGTGAAACTATTCTACAAACTTATATAGAATCACCTTTAAACTATAAATTGTTTATTTAAAAAAAAGAATCATACAAATCGGTCCATAACTGACAAAAATATCAACATACAAATAAAAAGAATATACAACTCCAGTTCGTGGAAGAGAACTTCACATGTCCTCAAAAATATTTTACAAAGAAATATAGATAGAGAACTGCGAACTATTCAAGTGACGCCAAAACCACGTAGCATAAATTTTCAAGCAGACTTCCGTGAGATCACATTATTCATAGAATCTTATTTCATCACTTGATAGAAATAAAATCTTCAAGTATACGTGTGCCAAGTAAACGTGGTAGAGCCATGCTGAAGCTGTATCATAGTTGTAGCACGTATAGGCCGGCTTAACTGGGTAAGGAACTCGTTCTCAAAGAGTAGCGTATAACAGAAGTTTAACGCTGCTGTGCTTCATATGGCAAGTATAAAGAATCGAATACCATATTTACTGGCAACGAGGCATTACATCTTAGTCCTCAGGAGTGACAACGCATCAGCATTTCGATTTTTTATCGAGGATTGATGTAGATGTCTCTGACCACAGCATCCACTTAACATCAGGTAGATTGTGTTCTAGCTTGTCACCCTTAATCTATACAAGAAATCTCTGGATATAAATCAGGTCTTCAGACATATACTTGTCAAAAAAAGTTTAATAAGATAATTATAAAACGTTTACTAATTTAAACACTTTTAAGTAGATATATAAGTATGACATAATGATCCGGAAAACCGGTTTAATTACTGATCTAAGAGCTAACACTTAAACGTTTTCAACTGGATGTTTCATGTAATAACAATTTAATGTTTAGCCCACATCGATTAAAAAAATAACTTGATTTATATTATCAAAAATACTGGTTCCCTGATAGCGGCATGCGTTATTATGATCAGCGAGCGTGATTAGACGCTAATGTGTTAACGACCTTACGTCGACATTGAATAATGATAAAGTTAATTTAAAGATGATTTGTTTGAGTGTGCTTATATTTAAATTTCTCTATCACAATACAATTGTACCTTTGACGCAAAATGATTATTTGACGGATAAATGATGCATATTTTATTTTTAGTTGTTATTTGCGATACTCCCCGGCTTCGTCTGGATAGGATTTATTAATGAAATTTTTCGGATAAATTATGGCCTAGAGCTCTCTTCGTATCTGTTCATAAAGTTTTTTTCATAGAATACTATAATACACAATAGAATGGCTGTCAACCTTACTTTGTAGGAGGATTGGCGTCGCCCGGAGCACGCATACATGCAATTACGTCGTATTATCAGTTATCAATACTTCAAACACGTTTTAGACTTTTGATTAATGTTTTTGACACATAAATGTTTCTTTATTTTTGTTTCTAATATACACATAATATATATAAATAGCTTTGACTTACCGGTTGTAGAATATGTCTCCTTTATTTAAATTCCATTTCCCGCTGTTCTTTCGACACGTGATTATTGCACAATTAGCCATTTTTTAAATTATTTGCATGCAGCGAGGCTTGACACGAAAATTGGAAACGATTGATTGTGTTGACATTTATACGTGTGAATTGACGTGCTAGTGACATGTTAGTGGCTACACGGGCTCCGCTTACTCCGCCGTTATATTATGTATGTATTATAGTATTCTATGGTTTTATCACAATCTTTTCAGCCACTCGCAATATTAGCTCGGATGTACAGACAGACAGATAGACAAAACATTTAAAAATTGTTATTTAAGACATAATAGCATGCAAATAACCCCCTGAGATTGAAGTAGCTTAGTCACACAGTTCTCCATAACAATCCATTTTAATACGTAAAAATTGCATGTGAAAGCAGTTTATATTATAAAATATTTATTAAGCAACTTGGGGTGAATTAAAATATAAAATGCATAAGCTTTTAACTGTTATATACTGTTATATATAAATAGTTTAAGTAGTTTCACTTTATTTATTGCAAAACGGTGCGTCAAAGATAACACAACGTTTTTAAATATAGAAATTGGGTGTGAAAAGAAGATATAAACCAAAAAATATTTAAGTAAGTTAATTTAGAAAATTTCTTTATGATCTTAATAAGATTATCTTTTAACTGTCACAGTCCCAGTGGTCACAAAAGGCTCCCCTGACAGTCACTGTGGCACTTGAGGTTAGCACTTATGGACGAAAGGAGGTTTCTATCTATATATTTAAAAAACGCTTCGCATCTCATACGAGCCGATGAATACTTCTTTTAGAAAACAAAATACTGGTTAAATTATAACAAATTGTTTAGTTTGATTACTTTTAAGTAATCTTAAGTTATAAAGTACGGTCTTCTTTTCCGCCCAGGAGCCCTTCTTTTTATAGCATTGTGTGATAAACGAGCACACAGTTCACCTGATGGTAAGTGAATGCTGTGGCCCATAGTCATCCACATTTATCCCCGATTAAGGATGAAACACAGGCGTGAGTGTTTATATATTATAGTAAAGTAAAGTAAAGTTAGAGTCTATATACGTCCCACTGCTGGGCACTAGCCTCCTCTCATTTCTGACAGGATTTTAGGGCAAGGAATAGTCCGCCGCGCTGCCCCAATGCGTGTTGGCGAACTTTCACATGTCTAAAATATTTTTTTCTTATTTCTCAGACATGCAGGTTTCCTCACGATGTTTTCCTTCACTGCCGAGGACGTGGTAAATCAGCACTTAAAATTGCAATTAACAATTTCATTGTTGCCGACGGGGATCGAACCCGGTTTGCTCGCGTATTGTGAAATTTACAGCGAGCGCTAACCATCTTAGCTACCACGACTATGTATTATGTTTATATATAATTCAAAACAGTTAGCGATTTATTCACATGTATACGTATCAATAATGTACTTCTTTTTAATCTTAAAGTAATGTGACAAATAATAAGAAATTGAGTTATGTCTGAGGTACGTTTACCGAATCAGCTGATTCTAATTTACCGATAGATTATAGTTGAGGAGTGCTGCCATATATATTTCAGTCCTATCAGATGATATTTGAAATCGTCGTCTAATTCTGTTCAGAAGACTCTAAAAAAAGAGGGAGTTCTAATTTTGACTGTATTTTTATTTGTATGTTATGTTACGTGATATGTTCGACAAATGTGAACCGATTTAAATGATTACTTTTTATTAAATTGGTCTTTAAAGCTGGTCTAATTTTCCACCATAATGGTTAAATTAAATTTGAAAAATAATTTAACCATTATGGTGGAAAAATAGAAGGTGAAAGTTTATTGTAACTACTAACACGACAATCTAAGGTTATGTTATGATTGTATTGGTTAGTCTTTATACCGCTTAAAAGATTCAAATTAATAAACTTAAAAAATTAAGAATCAACTTTATTTTATTCTTTTTTTTTTGGAAAAAGGTTTTTATATTTTTTAAACTTTATTATTAGTTTTATTCTTATTTTAAATAATACTGAAATACTACTAATATTCCGCTAAATCACTCCAACTAATCTTTGCAACCGTAACTGCTTATGTTGTTAGTTGTTTATGACATTATTCGAACCGCAGATTGGAATCCACGTCCTCTTGTTTATACAGTTCGCGTGCTTTACTATTAGACTACTGTCGACTATAATTTATTTTTATCACATGATATCATGTATTATATCAGCACTATCATCATCTTATCAGCCCTTGCTATGTCCATTACTGAACAAAAGCCTCTCAACAAACACGGCTCCAAACCATTATTATGAATTTATTTTTGTAAAAGAATATTACTTACATTACCGATTTTTATAAAACAGAAAACACAAGCAAAATACAAAAAAAAAAGAAAAATTAAGACTGTTTTGAATATTTCCATTTAACGTTATTTTTTTTTTAATTTTAAGTAGAGCAAAAGCAAAAGCAATCATTAAGGCTATAATTCAAATTGCTTACCGTTTCCGTAAACTTCGTTATGTTCACTGTATTTACATAAAATATAAAACGTTTTGTGTTGCCGTTGCGCGATCTGCGCTATTACTGAGTGCTCGTGCGCAGACTTCGCGACTTTTTGCGGTTCACAGGCTGAGATCGTGTTTTATGCCTTATATATTCGTAGATTATGTTTTTTTTTTTTTGGAATATATTTGAATTTGAAATTAAGACAATATCAGTTGATTAGATTTTTTTTAGCTGTGTCCCATTACCACCTACATCTATCCTCGATATATAATCAAAATAAAGAGGCGTTCGTAACCTGAGGACTGAGATATAATACCTCGTTATTAGTGAAAAGGATCTACGGTTCTCTAATCTTGCTATACAAAACAGAGCAGAATAATTGGAGCTTAGTTTGCTGCCATTTTACGCTGATATTCTTTGAGTATTGTACGCGAGAAACCCGGGTTACATTTTCGCTGGCACCATTTAAATGACCATTAACCATTATATAGTTTCAGTGTGGCTCTACTACGTTAAGGTTACAACAATGTATGAAATATGTAGTATGATATTTTTATCTCTTTTACCACGTTTTTACTAGCTCGCTTTCGTGTATGTCTGTTTGGGCCGAATTTAATATTTGATTTTTAACTATCTGCCCGATGAGCTAGATACTTGATATTTTAAACATAGCTCAAAATTGGATGATAATTTAAGAATAAAAAAGTATATATTAAAAAAATATTATTACATTATTTTGTAAAATTCACTTGTTAGTAATAAAGTAAAAATATAATTATAATCTTCTCCACTTTAAGACGTGCAATGCAATACAGCGGACTGATAATGCGTCGTAGGGACTACATTATCCCGCGAAGTAAGACTTCACATTTCCTAGAAATATTTTATTTTTCAGTCGTGTAGGTATCCTAACGACAATTTTCTTCACCGCCGGAGTGGAGAACTAGCATTTATGAATGCAATTTAATCCTAATACAAAAACTCGAAATTTACGGCGAGCGTGGGACCTATGATAAATATGTGACTATTGACTATATACTTTTTTATACGTGTTAGTGCCACGCTGCAGTATAGCTGTAGCACGAATGGATCAGCTCGACTGAGGAATGACCACGCTCTCACAGAATAACAGCGTAAAATATCGGCTTAACGCTACTGTATTTCGTATGGAGAGTGTAGAGAACCGGAGACCCTTTGTACTGGAAACGAGGTAGTCTTCATGGGTCACAACGCATCTGCATTTTGTTTTGTATTGGAGAACAGATTTAGATATCTATGGGCCAGAGCAACCACTTACCATCAGTTGGACCGTGTGCTCGTTTGTCACCCTATCCTATAAAAAATAACTAAAATATTAATACATATTGCCACACGGTATCCTTCATACTGATATATCTATTCCATTCATACATTATATATCCCTTAACAGTTTCCCTGTACGCGAAACTGAGACAACATTTAAATAATTGAGATGTTAATGTATTTGTTTACTAAGTCCAAGGCAAATATTTAGAGAAAATCCAGAGATGAAATTTAAACTTCATAATATTTTTTAACTTAATTTTCACATTTATGTACACCTGCTCTATTTGCAATTCGCTGTAAACAACTGTTCTTTGCTAAACAAGGGTTGTCTGGAAGAAATCGCTTCCAGAGCGATAAGACTGTTGATTGTACTTTCTGTATATATTTCATTTTGTCTCTTTTTATGTGTATTAATGTACAATAAAGATTATATTGATTGATTATAAAAGACGTAATGATTTCTTAAATTAAATTAAAGTTGTAATTAAACGCGATAAAATCCGTAAATAATAGTTTTATTCAATATAAAAGATATACCGAGGGGTCCATCTGGTTAGGAATCGTCATTTAACATATTTCTGCCACCAAATAGTGCTGCTAGCATTGTTGTATTCCGGTCTGAAGTGTAGTCTGGAGAAAGCGAGTTTTTTTTTTTTGCGCCCGAAGCAAATATGGGCAACCCTCAGGAAAGCGGGGGGAGGGAGGTTGGGAATGCTCATAGCATACCACGCAGCCGGCTGCGTGGTTATGTGGTGACTTTTACCCACTAAACCCAACCTTTTAGGAATTGGCTTAACGATCTGACTAGAGATCTCTAAGCCGTATACGAACGCGACCCTCCTTGGCAGAAAGGAGGCGAGTAAAAGTACAGCCAGTAAGGCATTCCATCTTAAGCGTCACGAGTTATCGCGTCTGTAACCTTCTTTGTATGGAGTTGGCTGGTGCATGTACAGCAGTTGCCACTTACCATTTTATCATTTCAGTTTTATGAAAATAATGTAAAATTTTGAATCTAGAATATGTTATTACACAAATGTTAACATTGTTAAGTTGGATCTTAAGTATTTCTTTATTTCTATTTTTGTTATTCAGGGTCAAATCAAAGTAAAAAATATCCACTCAATTTGCAATTGTTCAAGGTCCTAATAAATTTCAAAATTTACATCTACGCCGGTTTGCCATATCAAGATCTACTTGGAGGAAAACCGGAAAGACACTGGGATCTGTTTTTAAATGCAATTTTTTACAACTTTACAACTAATAATTAAACCAATAAAATATCAAATGCCAATAAATATATTCTTAAATGTCAGTTTTAGCTCGCTTTTCTTAGCAACTCGTGAGGCCTCAATTTATAAATGGCCAGTATCGCTTGCTTATGCAAAATAAATATTGTTTCTAATAATCCTGCAATTGCCCACAGTAAAACAAAATAAGACATGATAGCTTCATCATCATCATTACAATCACAAGTCTACTGCTCAACACAGGTCTCCCCCCAAGGGGTACTAGAGAGCACAGTCCCAAGCTACCTGCATCCATTGACTTACTGCATGTCTTACCAAGTCGTCACTCCAACTAGTAAGGGGTTGCGTACGAGACTGTCACCCGTCGTTTACCAAAACCTTTTTTCTCCGTCGGTTGTCGGTTCTTCGAGCTATATGGCCGGCCGCACTTCAGCTTAATAATTCGTTGGGCTATGTCGATCACTCTGATTCCACTGGGCAACATCATTTCTAGCATAGCCATCGTCATAGCTCGCTGGGCGATCTTGAGTTTCCTCATACGGCCAAAAGTAAAGGACCACGTCTCTGATCCATAGTTCATCACTGGCATCACGCACTGGTTGTACAATCTAGTTTTGAGGTTTTGAGGCATGCCTGAGAGAAATGGCCGTAGTGATTGGACCGTGAGGCTCAATAATTCTGTGCTTTTTATCTTTTAAATTCAAAATGCGTGGTAATCCATTATTTTAACTAATTTTCAGCACACACACACACGCACGCACGCACGCACGCACGCACACTCACGCGAGCACGCACGCACGCACGCACGCACGCACGCACGCACGCTCACGCAAGCACGCACGCACGCACGCACGCACGCACGCACACTCACGCAAGCACGCACGCACGCACGCACGCACTACTGTCACATACTGGCACACTGTCCCGGTAGCACTACAAGATTAATTGCAAACTTTTCTCTCGATTTAGCTACGCCGCATTCCATCTTAGTCCTCAGAGCTAAAAACGCATGTGTAGCTTTCTTTGCTTGAAATTGGTTGTAAGTATCTGTGAACTATACTAGCCACCTACTGGTCCAAGTGCTCGTATCGTATGTAATTATAGAAATTATTGAAATTATAGAACTATAAAATAAGTTCAATTTAAATGTGATAAAACCCCGTGTAATTAGATTCAGTAACTATAAATACAATAGGAGTTTCTTTTTTTATAGGATAGGGTGACAAACGAGCACACAGTCCACCTGATGGTAAGTGTTGCTGTAGCCCATAAACATCTACATCTATCCTCGATTACGAATCAAAATGCAGATGCGTTGTCACTCGTGAGGACTAAGATGGAATGCCTCGTTTACAGTAAAAAGGGTCTCCGGTTCTCTACATTCACCATACGAAACACAGCAGCATTAAGCTACCATTTTACGCTGGTATTCTGTGAGAGCGTGGTCCTTCCCCGGTCGATCGCACTCATTCGTGCTACAACTATACTACTATATAACTGCAGCAAGGCTCTACTACGTATAAAGCTTCGTAACGAAAAGTAGAATTTTGTGCGAACCCAACTAGACGGAGTAACGTCCTTATGAAAACTGATGTATTCGATGGATGAAGGTTCTTGTAAATGTAAAAAATCATTGTTTTTATGGCTGTCGTAAAATTTAACTCATGAAATCAAAGTTTCCTTAATTATGAACACATATCGCCTAATGCAACACGGAACTGTATTACTCTGCGACCTCTGAACTAAGCTTAGATAAAGATCACGTGCGCTCAATAAATTGGAATTTAAGTCCGACGGAATTTATGCGATGACTAATTGGTTCTGTAGTTGGAATAATGAGGAGACGGGAAATGAATTTCAGTTGTTCTGCGTGAATACTTAATGACAGCAGTACTTAATTTGTTGCATTATTCACTCTTAGAGCTACCGTTACGGGAGAGTAATTTCTTAAGAATTAAAACTAATTACTTCTGACATAAATGAAAATGTAATTTTTGAATGTGATGTATTTTACTAAGAAAGCTAATAATTTCGATATTGTTTAAGCCGTAGTAGCTCAGATGCAAGCGCTCGTTAAAAAATCATTGAGTGAGTGTAATCCGGGTTTAATCTCCGCAAGCACAAAAAACCTATGCTCACGGTCGTCCCAACGTTTACATCTGATTTGATAGACCACAAATTCTCTCAAAGGGGTATCGATTCCTACCAAGGATGATTTGCGAAGCTATCAAAAAGCATCTTTGTTTTAATAGAGAAGATGGCTGGGTACTACAATCAGCAAGGAATCCCATAATTAATATAATTAAATACGTACACAAAAATATTAGTACAAAACTTCAAGATACTGTAAGCTTGTTTTGCGTTATTAGGCCAACTATTAATATTTTACGTTAAAGGTAGCCTTTGTGAACTATGACATCAGGACGTCAAACATCCCAGTCTGTGACCATGACCAAACGTGCTGTAAAGCACTACTAAGCAATCCCTAAATTGGTTTCATTTAATGAAATTGTTAGTTGCTATTTTTTGTGGAGTTTTACTATATGCTCTAAATAATATGAGGAAACCCATATCCAACTCGCTACCTTAGCTACTGCGCTACATGAATAACATCAGGACCTCGGCAGTCAATTTAAAAAACTTAAAGTTACATATGCGTGGTAATTCTATCTAATAAAGTGTTTCGTGACCAACAAGTAATATTTTGTCGTCCACCATATCACAACAGCATTAAGTTGAAATTTTTAATGATTACTTTGAGTAATAGTATCTTCTTTTTTTTGGGGAGGGGGACAAACTCGTACACTGTCTACCTGATGGTGAGGGGATGCCGTAGCCTGTAGACACCTACATCCATCTTTGATTGTTGCGTTGTTACGAATAGCATTGTCACCCTTGAATGGAATGCCTAGTTTCCAATAAAAAGGGTGCCCGCTTATCTACGAGTACACTCACCATACGAAACATAGCGGTATCATTATATCACTCTTGTATTATGCAATAGCGTGATCCCACACGTGGTACAACTAGAATATAGGTGCAGCATAGCTCTGCTTATATATGTGTATTTTTGCGTATATTTTTTAACTTTTTTTGAAGCTTTGTTACTAGTAACTAACAAGAATAATCTGTTGCTAAATTTTATGTAGACTTTATTTTAGAGATTTAAGTTGATGTCAGGCTTTTCCTAGATTATCGGGTTTTTTCATAGACAATATTTTCCTTTGACCGCAACTCGTGTTTGGCCGAGAGCCAAATACGTAATACTTAAGTAGGGGATGGGCTGCTAATAACATTAAAGATTATGTTATAGCAGAAACTTCATTCACTCATATATACAGTATAAAAGCAAATACACTCGGTATAATGCAATATGAAAAGAGTGAAATAATTAAAACAGTATACTGAACTTGTGTGTTTCACGTTTCGTATGTGGGAATGGAACGAAAGGATTGAGTGAATGGATGAGTGAATGAAGTTTGTGCAAATACAGTACGAATGAAAGAGATTGTTATAGTACGAAATAAGAGATTGATAATATAAAATTATTTATTCCAACATAATTTCTGAAAATATACCATATACTAAATTTACTATGCGTAGCTTGTTGTTGTGTGAGTTAAAGAGATTAGATCATATAAACGTGTAGTAAAAGTATGCGAGATAAAAAATTGAAACCTAGACTACAAGGGAATGTGCGGCAGTTTATCAGTTTAGTTCGGAAAGAAAAAGACGAACATCTGCCAGTATTTATATTTACCCCAACCATTTTAAGTCACTTTCAAACTCTTCATAACTCAGAAATTACTTCCACGTACTATACTAAAAACTAACCGTACTCATAAATTTGTCGACATTTAATTCCTATAGCTTAAATAAGAAAATAAAACAGTGAAATTTAAATGCTAGAAAACCTTAAAAGTCAAGTATTTATTTTAATTAATATAACAATAAAAAAATTACAATACTTCGTGTTTATTTATGTAATTGAAATCAACTTTGCTAATTTGTTCAATAGACGTGGAAAAGCCACCCTCAACCCTTGTTAAAGATTGCCTAGTGGCGTATTTACGAACCTATTTAAATATTAACAAGACCGCGTTTCGTCGTACAAGTGAACCCTTACGCAAACTGTAAAAACCCCAATACCATATAATCATTTACTTCACTTTATAGGGAACAAAGAGTGTTGAATTTTTAATATACGTTTTAATATCTCATTCATTCATTAAATCCATTCATCTCAATCCATTACAGTGTGCTACAACACTCATGGGACAATACGGGGTAGTTGATATGCTTACACCACCACTACAAGTTTATTCATTCATTACAGTTTTTCAAACGTTCACTCCTGAACATCAGTCCAGCCCATATATTGCCATAGTTGTCATAGGGTGAATTGGCAACCATTATGCGATAACATAGAGATACCTAGTAACGAGCAATGGGAGTGAATATGAAAACTATTTTAAGCGCTGCGCTTGTAAATTCATGTGCTATTTTCAGTGAACAAAAATACCATGTGAAAACCAGCATGTATAAGTAATAAAATATTTCATGGACATATAGCCCTCTCAGAATTGTAAGGAGGCCTCTGCCCATCATATGAGGAAGTATACAGGCGGAAACTTTAAATGTTTATTGCATGTGTTACATTCAGTAGCGTAGAAAAGGGCTAACATTTCATTGACTGGCAAAAAATTATTTTTTTTAAATCCGAAAATGTTCTATACTAGTAGCTACTGTAAACTGCTTAGTAAACGCGGTTGCATAGAAAATACTGAGAATGGAGATAATCTTCACACACACACACACACACACACACACACACACACACACGCACACAGGCGCACACACACACACACAAACACACACACACACACACACACACACACACACACACACACACACACACGCACACACATGCACGCACGTACTCGCACGCACGCACGTACGCACGCACGTGATCCATTCCGAGACTATATAAATAAATGAAATTGCTTTATTTATTATTAAATATTATAAAAAGACTATATAACACATTTACTGATTTTAAATACGTATATTTGACTGTAAATTTATTGTTTCTTTTAAATATTAAAAAATATTAACTTTACTGAGCTAATGTCGTCTTTATAAATTATAGCTGTATTATTTTAACAAAAAGCATCTCTCTAATGCCACTCTACTGCTTTTATCACTACTTCATAAATTATTCTAGAGCATGCTTTGCTTTTTATTTTCTTTTATGGAACGGTCAGGCCATTTGTTTATTTGTCTCTCTTGAGTTGAATTTTTGATATTTGGTATTCTAAAAGGGTAAATATATATATTTCAATGTTTCCTTTTCGAGTGCCTTTAAGAGAAATCAGGTATTTAATTTGATCAATTGAAACGAGAAGTATTTTCAGCCGGTCAATTTAAGAGTACTAATAATCTGTTTTGAGAATAATGACCCTCTACATATAATTGATGTGTAAGATGTTGCTGTAGGTTGTATCTAAGTTACGGGATGTGGTAATTAAAGCTGTGTCCGGTTCCATAGAGAGCGTTTATTGTACTAAAAATATTTATAAAATGTAAACTGATCAATGTACGAATTCCAGGTCAAGCCGAGTGTTTTTTTACTCTCTGCATCTTTGGAGTTAAACATATTTTGGCTTATGTGTTGTACAGGTAAAGTTTGAAGAAATCTGGGGTGGTTACTAGCCCATTTGCGAAGATTGAACTTTTTCTCCACATTCGTGGAGAATGTGACGACGATTGCCACCATTAAACATGTCAAAGATAGTTCTCTCAGAGCCTTTCTGATCTCCATATAGGCTACAAATATTTCAGAGTCCAATTTGCCAATGAGAATACGCACCAGGATCCCAAATCGTTGTGCCGATGCCCAGATTGTGAATAGCATGTATGTGCTCGACACCACCAGGATCGGAACCCAAGTCGTTGCGCCGATGCCCAGATTGTGAATAGCATGTATGATCTCGACACCATCTGGATCGTATCCCAAGTCATTGCGCCGATGCCCAGATTGTGAATAGCATGTATGATCTCGACACCATCTGGATCGTATCCCAAGTCATTGCGCCGATGCCCAGATTGTGAATAGCATGTATGTTCTCGACACCACCAGGATCGGAACCCAAATCGTTGTGCCGATGCCCAGATTGTGAATAGCATGTATGATCTCGACACCATCTGGATCGTATCCCAAGTCATTGCGCCGATGTCCAGATTGTGAATAGCATGTATGATCTCGACACCATCTGGATCGTATCCCAAGTCGTTGTGCCGATGCCCAGATTGTGAATAGCATGTATGATCTCGACACCACCTGGATCGAATCTCAAGTCGTTGTGTCGATGCTCAGATTGTTAATAATATGTATGTTCTCGACACCACCAGGATCGGATCCCAATTCGTTGTGCCGATACCCAGATTGTGAATAGCATGTACGATCTCGACACCATCTGGATCGTATCTCAAGTCGTTGTGTCTATGCTCAGATTGTTAATAACATGTATGGTCTCGACACCACCAGAATCGGATCCCAAGTCGTTGTGCCGATGCCCAGATTGTGAATAGCATGTATGATCTCGACATCACCTGGATCGAATCCCAAGTCGTTGTGTCGATGCCTAGATTGTGAATAGCATGTATGGTCTCGACACCACCTGGATCGTATCCCAAGTCGTTGTGCCGATGCCCAGATTGTGAATAGCATGTATGTTCTCGACACCACCAGGATCGGATCCCAAGTCGTTGTGTCGATGCCCAGATTGTGAATAGCATGTATGATCTCGACACCACCTGGATCGAATCCCAGGTTGTTGTGTCGATGCCCAGATTGTGAATAGCATGTATGACCTCGACACCACCTGGATCGGATCCCAAGTCGTTGTGCCGATGCCCAGATTGTGAATAGCATGTATGATCTCGACACCACCTGGATCGAATCCCAAGTCGTTGTGTCGATGCCTAGATTGTGAATAGCATATATGTTCTCGACACCACCAGGATCGGATCCCAAGTCGTTGTGTCGATGCCCAGATTGTTAATAACATGTATGGTCTCGACACCACCTGGATCGGATCCCAAGTCGTTGTTCCGATGCCCATATTGTGAATAGCATGTATGTTCTCGACACCACCTGGATCGGATCCCAAGTCGTTGTGCCGATACCGAGATTATGAATAGCATGTATGATCTCGACACCACCTGTATGGAATCCCAAGTCCTTGTGCCGATGCCCATATTGTGAATAGCATGTATGATCTCGACACCACCTGGATCATACCCCAAGTCGTTGTGTCGATGCCCAGATTGTGAAGAGTATGTATGGTCTCGACACCACCTGAATCGGATCCCAAGTCGTTGTGCCGATGCCCAGATTGTGAATAGCATGTATGATCTCGACACCACCTGGATCGGATCCCAAGTCGTTGTGTCGATGCCCAGATTGTGCATAGTATGTATGGTCTCGACACCACCTGGATCGGATCCCAAGTCGTTGTGCCGATGCCCAGATTGTGAATAGCATGTATGTTCTCGACACCACCAGGATCGGATCCCAAATCGTTGTGCCGATGCCCAGATTGTGAATAGCATGTATGATCTCGATACCACCTGGATCGGATCCCAAGTCGTTGTGCCGATGCCCAGATTGTGAATAGCATGTATGACCTCGACACCACCTGTGTCGGATCCCAAGTCGTTGTGCCGATGCCCAGATTGTGAATAGCATGTATGATCTCGACACCACCCGGATCGGATCCCAAGTCGTTGTGTCGATGCCCAGATTGTGAATAGTATGTATGGTCTCGACACCACCTGGATCGGATCCCAAGTCGTTGTGCCGATGCCCAGATTGTGAATAGCATGTATGTTCTCGACACCACCTGGATCGGATCCCAAATCGTTGTGCCGATGCCCAGATTGTGAATAGCATGTATGATCTCGATACCACCTGGATCGGATCCCAAGTCGTTGTGCCGATGCCCAGATTGTGAATAGCATGTATGACCTCGACACCACCTTTGTCGGATCCCAAGTCATTGTGCCGATGCCCAGATTGTGAATAGCATGTATGATCTCGACACCACCGGGGTCGGGGCCCAAGTCGTTGTGCCGATGCCCTGATTGTGAATAGCATGTATGATCTTGACACCACCTGGATCGAATCTCAAGTCGTTGTGTCGATGCTCAGATTGTTAATAACATGTATGTTCTCGACACCACCAGGATCGGATCCCAAGTCGTTGTGCCGATGCCCAGATTGTGAATAGCATGTATGATCTCGACACCATCTGGATCGTATCTCAAGTCGTTGTGCCGATGCCCAGATTGTGAATAGCATGTATGATCTCGACACCACCTGGATCGGATCCCAAGTCGTTGTGCCGATGCCCAGATTGTGAATAGCATGTATGATCTCGACAACACCTGGATCGGATCCCAAGTCGTTGTGTCGATGCTCAGATTGTGAATAGCATGTATGATCTCGACACCACCTGGATCGGATCCCAAGTCGTTGTGTCGATGCCCAGATTGTGAATAGCATGTATGATCTCGACACCACCTGGATCGAATCCCAAGTCGTTGTGTCGATGCCCAGATTGTTAATAGCATATATGGTCTCGACACTTGTGTCATCTAGTTTCTCCAGCTCCTACGCATTCTGTGTTTGCAACGTCGGTTGTCCCATAAGGGCTTGTATATGTTTTATAGACTACAACTGTCGGTTGTTGTATCTATGGTTATCATCAAACTGGTGTCGTAATTATCAGCTGATCCTGTAAGATGCTCTACGATGCGCTCCGCCTCGCCTTTAAGTTTGCTCTTGAAGTGCTGCACCTTTTGTGTTTTTGTCAATATGATATTGTTGTGTATGGTTTCACAGTAGAGGTCCATGAATGTAGGCCACTGGGTACAATTACCAGAGATAAATTTAGGCACTTTGCTGGTGCTGTGCCTTACATGTAAGAAAAGAGCTTACTCCTTTCTAAAGGGCCGGCAACGCACCTACAATTCCCCTGGTGTTGCGGTTTATCATGGGCGGCGGTAGTCACTTAACATCAGGTGAGCCACATGCTGGTGACACGAAAATTGAAAACGTTTGACTCTGTTGACATTTATAGGTGTGAATTGACATGTAAGTGACATGCTACTGGCTACAACGGGCTCCATCAACTCCCCCATCTATTATGTATGTAATTCAAGCAACTTTTAAAAAGCGAAATAAATGATTTTCTTATGATATAATAATACTTAGTCGTAAAAATAATAACAACAAAATATTATTTAAAAAAAATAATTCTTCCACAGTCCATCCATCCATCCATTACAGCCTATAAAAGTTAACCGCTGAACATAGACCTCTCCCAACGGTTTCCTCTTAGAAGGGATTGGGATTTTGCAGGCTTGGCAGGCGGGTTTACAACCATAGTGTTTTGGTTATATTTTACATGAATTTTAAAGACTCTCATTTTATTTAATAGACTTTACCTATGAATAAAAGAAAACTGTTAAGAAAAGGTAAAAACCAACTTCAAATAATTAAAAAAAATTCCACTTGATTCTGAAGACCACCGACGGTCTTATTTCTTCGATACACTTTCTCTTAGTACTTACATCAGAAGCTATTATGTGTATAATATTTTTTTATTTTTAGATCTTTATG